AGGATCTGGAACCAACTTCCAAGAGAAGTGGTGCTGGCTCCTACCCTGGGGGTCTTTAAGAGGAGGTTAGATGTACACCTTGCTGGGGTCGTTTGACCCCAGTACTCTTTCCTGCCATGGCAGGGGGTTGGACTAGATGATCTACTCAGGTCCCTTCCAACCCTAGAAACTATGAAACTATATATAATGCCTCAAAAATAAAAAATGTTTTTTGTTTTTAAAGTAAAAATATAGGTCCTCTTACTTCCTCACTTAATGCCTCTCCAGCTTCATAGCACCAGTCAATCCTTCTCAAATGCCAGCTGTCACCTGCAAAATCAGAACAATGAAAACATTTCCCAAAAATATGATTACAAAATATGTAAACATAGTTTTAGTAAGTTTCAGTAATTCATACACTTCTCACAACACTTGTAAACTCTAAGAAATTATAAGGGATAACAAGTTTTAAAGAAATAAAATTAGCTTTAGGTGTTAGTTTTCTCCGGTTCTCTGCAATGTTTTTGCTGTTTTCAAAATAACTGTCATATTTAGACAATGAGAAGAGCATTTATAAGAACTGCCACTCCCACCTCTCCTAAAAAGGAGATAGGTGTGGAGAGGAAACAGAACTGCCAGATTTACAAAATACTGTCAAACATGGAGCAAACAACAACAAAAAACAACAGAGAAAAAAAGTTTTCCACTCTGAAAATTTTAAAATGTTATTGTAGATAAGTTTGTTCTACACACACACAATTAAGTTTTTTAAAATGACAGATCTGATGATATAAAAAATACAGCCTCCAAGATCTGAGGAATTTATGCTAGATGCTGTCAGCATACAGTAGTTCTGTTACCATAAGATATTAATTATTACTCTCGAATCAACAGAGGGTATGACTACAAAGATCAAGGGTGATCTTTGTCCTATTTAGATATGAGTACAAAGTATGCATTTGATTTAAGAGTAGTCACAAAGGCTGAACTTTATCAGAGTGAGATTGTATGCAAGGTCTGGGCAATAGGGCTGTGCGAAATGGCACAGTTCCGTTTCAACTTGCGTTTTGACAGAACAGCATTTTGTTTTGAATTTCGTTTCAATTTGAAACTGCTGTTTTGTTTTGTCAAAACAGTTCCGCTGTTTTGCCCATAGGCTATTATGGGGAAGCTCAAAACAGCCTATAACTGTCATTTCTGGCCTGATTTGATTGAAATTTGCAGGAATGGTAGCCCCTTGTGAGGGCATGAGTCCTGCCAAGTTTCAAGGAGACAGGTATAGAGGTTTCAGGGAAGCTGTACCTCAAAGTCTCAAAAGCAAAAAACTCACGTCACGTGTGTATGTTAAGCCACAGCCAAGTCAAAACTGCAGGCCTGCTAGGCCCCGCTGAGGCAACGAAGCCCACCAAGTTTCAAGGAGATAGGTGCAGGGGCTTGGGGGAAACTGCACTTCAAGCTGGGGACAAGCAAAACTCATAACATGGGTGACACTGTGCGTTAAGGCGCAGCAGGGTGAAAGCTGCAGGCCTGCTAGCCCCTGCTGAGGCCATGAAGCCTGCCAGCTTTCAAGGACATAGGTGCAGGGGCTTCTGGGTTCTGGGGCCATGCACCTCTGCCTGCTGACAGGCAAAAACTCATGACATGGGTGCTTGTGGGACTATGTCTGTCTTGGGGCACAGGGCAGTGAAAACTGCAGGTCTGCTACGCCCTGCTGTGGCCACGAAGCCTGCCCGCTGTTAAGGAGATGGGTGCAGGGGGAATCTGGGTTCTGGGACCCTGCACCTCTGGCTGCTGGCAGGCAAAACTCATGACATGGGTGGGTGACACTGTGTGTATGTTAAGGTGCACCCTCACGCCACTGACACCAAGGCAGAAAGCAGGGCAGTTCAAACATTGCTTCCTTTTATGCAGTTTTTCTATCCCTCCCCCAGAACACTGTGATTGGAAGGGACCTCAAAGAAGGATGACAGTCACTGGCCAGCTACATAGTCAATAATGAGAGCACTCCTTCCCCCACCTTCCCCCCTCCCTCTCCTTACTTAAGTTTCTGTTTCCCTCCAGGCAAGCCCAGCTTGAGCTCTGAAACTCAAAACATTTTGAAAATTTCAAAACGATTCGACTTGCCTCATTTCATCTTGATTTTGCTGTTTTGAGCTCGAAACGAGGCGAAACAGCATTGAAAAGAAGCTGCCGGCGAAATTTTGCACAGTCCTACTGAGCAACCCCTGGACACGTGCTAGAGCATGGCACGTGAAGGCACTTCGATTGGCACTCGCACCTTAGGGAAGGGGCTAGGGCTGCGCTGCCATAACAAGGAATGGGCCCCTCGCTGTTGCCCCGCCATCTGCCCCTGGCACACCAACATCTTACAAGTGGAGGTTGCAGGTGTTTTTGGCACTCTGCCCAAAAACAATGCCCACCCCTGTTGCGTGGCTTCTTTCATTCTACACCTCACTCCTGTAACCGCCCAGCAATTCTCAGCCATGTATCAATTCAGACTGCAATTATTTTTAGGCTGTTACACAGCCATGAAGAGTTTAAGGCTGCTGCTGGCCCCAGGCGGCAGTACTAAAAATATTCTTAGAATGTACAGACAACTAACCTGGTAACCCAGATTTCTCCAGCATTAAGTTTAGGCACTGAAAGAAAAAAAAAAAATCAAAACAAAACATGGTGAAAATTTCCTCTGTACATAGACAGCATGGGCAATTGCTTTGTTTACAAAACTAATCTGGTTCTTTGCTAGCGACTAGGACAGCGCAATTATGTTATTAAGACTAACTGCTTATAAAGTCTCTTCTGAGCTTTTCAAATATAAGAACTGTCTTCATTTAATGGAAAATGAGACATCTTAATTTACTCTTCTAAAACAGGCAGCTTTCATAAGCAGTCAGGCAGAAAGAAGGGCAGGGTGGCACCAGTTAGAACACGGGGGTAGGGGTGAGGCAAAATATGGCCTGCAGGCTGGATCAGGCCCACAGAAGGACTTTCTCTGGTCTGTGGCAGGTCCCTTGGTCCCACCTGGTCCAGGCGCCATCACGCCTGTGGTGTGTCCCACTGCCCCCAGACACACACCAGGTACGGGGCGGTTCCACAGCTGGACTGCCTTTCTAGGCAGCCCAAGCAATGGCCCCTTCCGGCTACTGCTGGCCCCAGGCCTATGATACTTGTGGGGACTTTTGCACACAGGCCCAATCCTGGCCCACCTTGTGCCCACTCTGGATTTGACCCAGTGGAGCAGACCAACTGGAACCTGCGCACCTAGCTCTGACCCTGGCCCACACTATACCAGCTCCAGAATCACCCCGCCCACACTGAGCAACAGCAGCATCAGTGGCAGCAGCCAGGCTGAAGCAGGGGAAAGGACTGTTCGGTCCTTCTTGATCCAGCTGCCCTGAGTCCATGCCCAGGCTGTCCTGGTGCTCCTCTGCTGCCTCGCTGGGCAAGGGTGACAGTGGTGGACAGGAGGTGCAGAGCAGCCCAGGCATGGGCAGCTGCAGCAAGAAGGGCCCAGCAGCAGCGAGGGGAAGGGGCAGCTTGCAGCAGCAGCTTCTGCCTGGCCACTGCCACTGCTCAGTGAGGGCAGGTGGTCCGCAGCAGGTGCAGGGTGGGGCTTTGCATATTGGTTCTGGCTGGTCTGCTCCAGCCAAGGCAAGTCCGGAGTGGGGCAGCTCAGGGCTGGGGCTGTGCACTGTTGGCAGTGGTGGGGAGGAACTGCAGGGCATGCGGGCTCCGGGTTTTGGGGGGGAAGGAGAGAGGGGGAAGCTGACCAGCCCACAGCAGCTCCCCAGAACTGTGTATGTGGCCCATGGGCTCAAATAATTGCCTGCCCCGAGTCAGAGACTAAATAAATCAAGCAGGTATGAGCTCACATAGGCCACAAATTACTTCATCAAATCCCCTACCTTTTCTCCAACATCAAACAAATATAGCTAGCCACCTTTCTGTTTGTGTGTAGCATGTCAGAAAAATAGATCTGTACTGTCAGTTTGCCACTCTATTGAAGGGACTTCTGCTTTATGAAGCTGACATTGTCCCTTTCTCCCGAACTTTTCTTTTCCTAAAAAATAAAGCCAGTGATTTAAAGGCTCAGCCCCCTGCCCTAATTATTTTTAGACTGCAACTATAACAGTCAAAGTGGTTCTATGCTAGGGGTTTGTGCCCGTGGCAGAAGCAAAGCTTGTTTCTTTTTCTTTCCCCAACAATGCCAAATATATGACATCCCCAACCTTTACTGATCTATTTATATCCATTCAAAATGCTGCTTTTAAAAAAAGTCTTCTTTTTGTCTGTCAACATGTCATCTCCTTCTTTGAATCCACGAACTAACTTTCCTTCCCCAACCCCATAAATAAGCTAGTTGCCTCCATTCCGAGGCCCTTCCCAGCCTACTGCCTCCAATTCACTATCAGAACACTGATAGTGGTTCATGGAGGCCAGGCTCTACTGACCACTTCGGAGTTTCAAGTAAGCGCTTTTGTGTTTTCTCCCTTACTGACCCTCATACTCTTGGGAACAACTGCAAGACTACCTCATAAATACGAACCTGCTTAAAACACAGTTTTGCAATTTTCACAGAAACCATGAAAAACAGCAGTCTCCATGAAAAATGGCATTGGTTGACAGTTCCCAGGAAATCAACCAAAAAAAAACTTCATAAAAATAAAATGCTGGCTCCCCAGTGAGAGCCAGTGGTCCTTGCTGCAGCTGCAGCCCAGACATGCAGCCTGCTTGGGGGAAAGTGCCAGCTGCCAGGGTGGCACAAAAGGCAGCAGCTGTCCCCTTGTGCCAATCAGCACTGAAAAGTGGGGCCACTGCAAAATGCCCATGAAATCACCTCTGTACACTGTAAGCAGGCCGTGAAAACTGCTCTCTCTCACTGTAAGTTAGGTAGGTTCCTACCCATAAATATCTCCAGGGTTATCTCACTTTCCTCCTCCAAATCCCTCCTTTAAACTGTTGCTTGCCATGATGCCCACAAAAAAGCCCAAGTTCTTGAGTGTTAGAATCATAGAAAATTAGGATTGGATGGAACCTCAGGAGGTCACATCTAGTTCAACCCTCTGCTCAAAGCAGGACCATCCCCAACTAGATCATCCCAGCCAAGGCTTTGCCTAACTGGGTCTTGACAACCTCCAAGAACGGAGATTCCACCACCTCTCTGGGTAACCTGTTCTAGTGCTTCACCACCATCCTAGTGAGAAAATTCTTTCTAATATGCAACCTAAACTTCCCTTGCTGAACTTGAGACCATTGCTCCTTGTTCTGTCATCTGCCACAACCGAGAACAAATCTAGCTCCACCCTCTTTTGAACCCCACTTAGGTAGTTGAAGGCTGCTATTAAATCCCGCCTCAGTCTTCTCTTCTCTAGACTAAATAAGCCCAGTTCCCTCAGCCTCTCCTCAGAAGTCATGTGTCCCAGCCCTCTCGCTGTTTTTCTTGCCCTCTGCTAGACTCTCTCCAATTGGTCCACATCCTCTCTGTAGTGGGGGGCCCAAAACTGTTCTCTAGATTTGGCCTCACCACTGCTGAATAAAGGGGAATAATCACTTCCCTTGACCTACTGGCAACACACCTACCAATGCACACCAGTATGCCCTTAGTCTTCTCTGCCACAAGGGCACACTGCTGGCTCATATTCAACTTATTGTCCACTGTAACCACCAGGTCCTTTTCTGCGGAGCTGCTGCCCAGCCAGTCAGCCCCCAGCCTGTACTGGTGCATGGGACTGTTTTGTCCTAAGTGCAAGACTTCGCACTTGTCTTTGTTGAACCTCAAGTGCCGACCAGTGGTTGGTGACCACCTGCAGGCACCACTGGCAGCAATGTCAGCGTCCAGTGGCTATCTGTGACCACCCACAGGTGCTGTTGGCAGTGCCGGCGGCATGGGGTGGGGGGAGGGGCAAGCAGCAACTACCTGCAGGTGCCACTGGCAGCGTTGGCCAATTGCAAGGGGTTTACGTGCACCCCCTATGTGTTGCCAATAGCCCAAGCAATAAAGGAAAGGAACTTACGTACTCACCTCTTTCACAGTAGCAGTCTCTTCAACAACTATTTCCATTTCTGGGACTGCCTGTAGATCATTTCCAATAACAAAATACAAGAAGAGCTTTTGTTAAGGAAAAAAGAAAAGAAAATTATTAGATGCATCAGTCACCAAGCTGTGGAACATTATTGTGCATTTAGATACAAACCCAATGTATTCTCATAACCTTATTTTGGAGCTGAAGGATGAGACAGACTACTTTAGATCAAGTACAAATAAGGAGAATCTATCGTAGCTGCTCATCTAAACCTTCAGATCATGTATTTCTGTTGATTTATCTACGATAAACAGATAAACAGTTGTGTTGATTTTAAATCTCAGATAAATAGATTGTGTATTTAATGCTATCAACAGAATTATCTTTTCCACCTCCCCCCACCCATGAATACAAAACAGCATTCTGAAACACTTTGGTACATTACACTTTGCAAGGCATAAATTGACTTTGAAAGTAATACATTTTGCAATAAGAAGAGATGCTGGACTAGTAACAGAAGCCCACTTCACTAGTATCAGAAGCAGACTGGCCAAGTTTGCCAATGACACCAAACTTCGGGGTAAATCATCCACACCTGAGGATAGGATGGTGACCCAGGTCGACCTAGACAGGCTCAGAAAGTGGGCAGATGAAAACCTGATGGTGTTCAACACCAAAAAATACCAGGTACTCCACCTTGGGGGAAAAAAGCCCGCAGCACACTTACAGGCTTGGCAGTGCTACACTTGCTAGCACCACGGCCAAAAGGGACTTGGGGGTCAGGAAATGCGATGTCGCAGCTGGTAAAGCAAGCAAAACTCTGGCTTGCATCCACAGATGCTTCTCAAGCAAATCCCAGGATGTCATCCTCCCACTGTACTTAGCCTTAGTGAGGCCGCAGCTGGAGTACTGCATCCAATTCTGGGCTCCACAATTCAAAAAGGACATGGAGAAGCTTGAGCAAGTCCAGAGGAGAGCCACGCGTATAATCAGAGGGCAGGAGAACAGGCCCTATGATGAGAGGCTGAGAGCTACGGGACACTTCAGCCTGGAAAAGTGCAGGCTCAGGGGGGACCTGGTGGTTGCCTATAAGTACATAAGGGGTGTAACATCAGGATCTTGGGGAATGCCTGCTCACCAGAGCGCCTCAAGGGATGACAAGGTCAAACGGTCACAAAAGCCTCCCAAGACCATTTCAGGCTGGACATAAAGGAGAACTTCTTTGCTATCCGAGCCCCCAAGGCCTGGAACAGACTGCCTCCAGAGGTGGTGCAAGCACCTACTCTGGACTCCTTTAAGAGGCATTTGGACATTTATCTTGCTGGGATCCTTCTGACCCTAGCTGTCTTCCTGCCCCTGGGGCAGGGGGATGGACTCGATGATCTTCCGAGGTCCCTTTCAACCCTAATGTCTATGAAATAACTGAAGCTTGTAGGTTTTCAAAACAAAAATACACTACCTCTCATCAATGAACACATCTCTATACTTCTATTTCCATACCATGCTATGGCAAGAAGAAAACAAAGAAGTAGCCATGTAAATGCAAACCACAAACAAGCTTTGTTATGTTGAGCATTCTTAAGGTTTTACCTGAGTGGAAGTTGGAGCTTTTCCATGGCACAGTCCCAGCAAGCTTCCCATCTTCAGCTCTGCTTCTTTGACAGTGTAATCCTCTGGCACTTCAGGGAGAAAAGAACAGGAAAAAGCACCATAAGAAAAGTTTCATTCCATAAAGTATTAGAGCTGTTGGCCTGTTCATTAAAAAGGTGACCAAAATGTACAGGTTTCCCTCGCTTAATGCTGTACTTGTATTCCTGTAAAACGGCACGTAAGTCAAATTTGCATAAAGGGAACCACACTTCAGAATGTAACAAATAGGGGTATGTTCCAAGACCTCGACTGTACTGACCCCCAAACTCATTTCTACCACTTTTACAAGACAATTTTGGTACTTACCAACAGCAAACAGTACACACAAGCACAGGGCACTATCATAATGCGGATGGCAACTGCAGAAACGTGTCACAGATGAGCAAGGAGCACAGATCCGCACAGGAGACTATATCTTGGTGTGTGTCACTCCCACAATGCACTGCACAAAGTAGCTGACTCTGGGCTTCTACCATACCAATCACATAAGAGTGAATTTACCTTGCATATAACAATTTTTTGGTATAAAATGGCTCATAGCATAAGAGCGAATTCGTACATACAGAACCCACATAAAGCGAGGGAAACCTGTACAGTGATAGATTCTGGTAACTGCATTTTCACAGTAGTGCAATTTGTTTGACTTAAAAAACAAGTAAACTGTCATTAAGGCAGGGATGAACCATATTTAATAGAGGTGCACCGATACAAAAAAAATTGATTGCATCAGAAATCATCCTGATATGGCCAATAAATGCATGTGTACATGTCCAGCCACAGCTCAGCACGTAGGCAGCAAGGAGCATAGCTTGGCAGCATGGAGAACTGCGTGCAGCTGGTAAGTCTGATGTGGTAGAAAGGGAGGGGGGAAGGAAGGGGATGGGGGGCAGATCAAGGCCCCTGCAGTGAGGGAGAGAGTGGGGCAGGGGCTGCGGCAGGTGCTGCCCAGCCGGGGTGAGGTGGTGTAAGGCAGGGCGTGGGACGGAGTCACAGCTCGTCTAGTGGGTGTGGGGTGGCAGCTTCTGCTGCTGCATGCATGCCCAGGAGGGCATGGGGGTGTGTGCCCTGGATCTGCACGGGGAAGGGGTGGGGGGTTGCAGCTATGGGCTGGGGCCAGGCTCTTCCCGGTGTGTGAGGGCTGTGCTCAGGGCTGTGCTTGGGGTGGGCGGCAGCAGCGCTGGAAGGGGGCTATGGAGGGGCTACAGCAAAACATGGGGTTGCTGCAGCCTCCCCCATAACCTCCCACTCCCAAGCGCAGCTCCCATGTACCTGGAGTGCAGTCCCCATGTTCTGCGAAGAGCCTGGCTCCAGCCCACAGCTGCAGTTCCCCCCTCACCCCATGCCCTTCCAGGGTGTGCATAGCTGTGGGAGCTGCCCCACCTGGACAAACTATGGCTCTGTCCTGTACCTCACCCCGGCTGGGCAGCACCTACCTCAGCTCCTGTTCCACTCCCTCCCTCACCGCAAGGGCCTTGATCTGCCCCCCCATACCCCTTCCCTTTGGTTGGGACGGCACGCTTACTGGGCCTCTCCCATCACGTGCCACGCTGGCTCAATGTGGAGTGGGAGGAGGGGGGGGAAGGTGGCAAGCAGCCAGACATGGACCAGATGTTGGGGGGGAGGGCCAAGCTGTCAGGCATGGAGCAGGCACTGCTGAACACAGCATGTGGATGCAAATCGCTGGCTGGAGCCATGCCCCCCCATCTCTGTCCACAGCAACAGCAGGTGGGGGGGGGGCACTACTCCAGCTAGCAGGAGGCATGTCTCCAGCCCAAAATTCTATGGCACACGAGTGTCCTGCAGCACACCAGTTGGGAAAAGCTGTCGTAAGTGTTTATCTAGACCAACAACTGGTACATACCACTGACTTGTTCCTCTCCTCTCAAGCACCAGAAGTCCAGCACACAGTTCAAAGTGTATCGTGCCATACTGGAGATAAAAGTTCCTTTACAATGCTAACAAGCATATTAGGTTCTGTGAATAGGAGGATTTGTTTCTCTCAAAACAGTTCTGGACTGAACAGCTTTCACTACATTATTCACGTTCCATTCTGTTCTAAAATGATGTGCTGTGTGTCAATATACTTCAATGATTATCATTTAATTTGTAATGTTCTAATAAAGCCACAAATAGGGACTGTACAAGTTTGCAAGAAACGTTACAAGTAAAAGGGACAATGCACTCATGTTTTCAGTGAGATTAAAAAACTTCAGCTCATGTATGCACCTTTCTGAACGCATTCTAAAAGTTCCATGCAAAAAGCTACTCAGTAGCTTTTGTTACTTTCTGCAAAGATCCAGCATGAGCTCTTGGCCAATAAACAAGTGGAAGAACCATATGAAATATTACTGAATTCAGATGCAAGCAATAAAAATCACACTTGAATGTTTAGATTTAACTACTAGCCTGGCAGTGATAAACAAATAGACATCAACATTGGAAAAAAATAATTCATTTAAACTAAGTCTAGAAACACTATCCATGGATTCACAGGACACCCCAGATACGTAAAAACTCCTAAAAAAGGAAAAGGAAAGCTAGGAATCTTTTATTTCAGTTTTATTTAGACTTTGACAAAGTCCTACTTTCAGTTCTAGAAATACCTACCTGGAGACAGAAGCTTCCCATTTCTGTTAATAGGTCTGAGACAGATATCATTCACTGTAATGGGAGAAAATGAGCAAAGGTGAACTACTAAACAGATTAAATCAGTGGAAGTTTAGTTCAGTTATACAGATTGGGAGAAGATGAAAAATTACAAAAAACCGAATTGGCTAAACTAGTAAAAGGCCTCTCGCTATGCAGAACGCCTTGTCTCTTTGATGCAACACTTGTGTGTTTTCTACAGATCAAGAAAAATGTGGCTAGTCTCTTTTTTCTGGGATGGAACACTTCTCCCCCTAAGCAATAATAGCTTGATTACTGTAGCCAGCTGTTTTCAACTTCAGGTAAAATTTCTATAAACATACTGGAAGAAGCTCCAACAGAAAAAATATGGAGGCAACTTATCAGTTTCAAGACTACTTCACAATTTGCAATATAATTTAAGTCTTTTAACAAAATGAAAACAGGCCAAAATGGCTTCCAAGAAAAGTGAGTCTATGGATGCATGCAAGAGCTTCCTAAAACATTTTGTAACTGCAATCTGTTTGGTACAGGATGATATTTTTAGCTAGGGAGAGTTATTTTATTCTAAACTAGAAGCAGGTGAAAAACATTACATCCTATAGAGAAAAAAATTTAAAACCTTAACAGCACAGAATTCATCTCCTTTCCATAAAATATGAAACCTCCAGCAATACAGGAAAGACTTGTATCTAAGAATAAAATAAATTAATCAATTTACCTAACTGCTCCTCTAATTGCAACTCCCGTATTGCTGTAATTTTGATATCTGACATCACCTAAGAGAGAGATATTATTAGTGCCTGTAATATAACACACTGTGCAATATCAGAATAGAAAAGGCCTATATATACACTTATACATATGGTTTTCAAATGATAATCTAAAGAAAAACTTTTACTCTTCCCTTGAAAGGTGTACTCATTTGGATTGTTCTGTAATCATTTACAAAACTGAGAAAGCATCTCTAACAGATTACCAATTTACATAGAAACATTGAGATCTCTGAAACCACCAATCCAAAGCAAAGCAAACAGAAAAAAAATTGGATTTATCAACAGACTAAAGACTAAGTAAAAAAAGCACCAACCAAAAGACTGAAAAATATAAAGGCCTCAGAGAAAAGTTCTTATACAAACTTTCTACAGTTGACTTCAGCAGGGATTAGTCTATTTTAGATTGTTTGGCATTATTTTTTTTTGTACTACACTGACAGCATCTTATATAAGCCATCACAAATGACTGCAAACCTACTTCCTTTTCATATAAAGTAGCAAACTTTTTGAAGACTGCCAAGGTGAAATCCTGTACTCTTACAAGTCAATGACAGAATTCCTACCGGCTTCCCCAGAATCATAATGTCACTGGAAGTAATAAGTCAAGCTGTACTGAAAAAGAAACTGATCAGGCTAAGAGAACGGAGTTATATCCCTAAACAACAATATTTTTACTCACTGTTTCTATAGTTGCAGTAATTTTAACTAGTCTCTCTTCAGCCTCCAACCTGCAGAGATTTTTAACTTGTAGCCAGCTGATATCATGTGTAAAAGCAGTCAGATTGCCATCTACCACATTTACCAAGCTGCAAAGAAATATATAAGAGCACAGATTTAAACATCTCTGAAAATTTTCATATAACGTATAAATGACCTAAAGGACTTGCATACGCTGCAGCAACATCTCAGCTCAGTTGCTCCAATTCAGCCCAACTCAGAAATATGTCAGTGAGGGCCCTCTGGAATCAATCTCCAGCAGCCACTCTCTAGGACACTAGAAGCAGAGGTCTTGAGAGCAGTGACAGAGGGTGCCCTGGAACATCTTCACTGGCATACTTCTGGGTCTGGAGTGGGCAATAGCCAGGCTGGTATAGATAAGACCCCAAGCCCATTTTCAAATGTGAATTAGGGAACTAGGAGGGTGCAAACAAGTGAAATGTTTACTACAGAGTAAAGTGACTCTATTTTGGAGGAAAAGTAAAGCAAAGACACAGCCTTACATCAGTGCAAATCATCTACTTCATGGTAAAGTTAACTCTCAGAAAAGTGAAGAGTACACATCAGTGTCATTTATACTGTGCATGTCTCACCTCCTATAGTTAATTTCTTCCCAGGGTAACTTCTTGCTCAATGCATAGCCATTCTCGCCATGAAATGGCTAGGCCATATATAGTGCCATGTACAGGCAACCACCTTGGGAAAGCAGGTTGTCTGTTCACTCTTTCCCTAGAGTCTGTGGGCAGACAGGGCAGTTCCAATGGCCCAATCTTCTACTTGAATTATCCAAGGAAACTCAAGTGTGGTGAGCTTACACCAGGCTTGTCCTTACTAGAAAGCCATCAATTAGTTTTCCTTGAATCAGAATTTCTTGATGAGGAGACTGGCAGATGCTGCCATATCAGTAGCAGTGCAACTCAGAACAATTTGTGAGTGGTGCTGCCAAGGGAAATGTGTTAATCTGCTGATTACATTTTTGTTTCTTGAAATCTGTTAGTTCTCTCTAGCTTTCCTGACATTAGAAGAACAGCCTTATGTTTTAAAGCACAAAAGTGGGACACAAAACCACTAGATCCAATTCCTGGACCTCTGTCACAAACTTCCTGTTACCAGGGGTTCATCACCTATTCCTTGCTTCAGTACCCTACCCATAATGATGACACCATTAACTGCCTGTATCCTCTATGAAAAATGTAAAGTCTTTACAGGAGAGAAAATTTCTTATTACATCTACAGAGCATGCAGCAAAATGGATCAGATTGTCATCAGACACAGTGTCTCATCATCGATTACAACATAGGCTTTATAATTAATCTAATTAACGACACAAAAAGGCTTCACAATTAATCTAATTAATATCTTAAATGGAGACATTATTATGCATATACCAAGTATTAGCCTGTGTTGTATGCAGTAGGATCCCTCATTTTATTACCTGCTTGAGGTTCGAGAAATATCCCCTTACAACTGAAATTTAAGTTTTGGTCCTTGGAAAGACTGCTGTCTCAGCAACTGTGTTTATATGAAATCACCAGGTGTTATGTTTTCACTTCAGCTAGGCATTAGTTGTGACAAACTCATTTTTATTATAACCCGTTTCCCCACCCCTTTAACTTACCATTTGTTCACCTGACATTTTCTTTACTTAATACCTGCCCCCAAGGCAAAAAATGTGATTATTTAAATGTTTAGGAAGACTCCTTTTAGGCATTTTAGTGAAGAGAGTTGTAAAGAAACTTGCTTTTCCAAAATTGGAAAAATTATTCTAAATCATACTGAATAGCCTAAATTACTCTAATTTAGGAGTTGGTACAGCTCTACCTTTCAGTGGGGGACCCATTGCTGCACTTCATATTTTCATTATTAAAAAAAACCAAATAAAACACCATAACTGGAAAGCCAAAATTAACATAATGGATATTTTCCATTATGTCTACTATATGTGCCAATTATACCTGTAGGTGTGTATTCAATATGTGGGCTGAATATCTGAAAGCCCAAGCCCAATTCCGTTTTTGCGTGCTTGCTGTTTAAAATAACAACCTGAAAGGCACCACAGCTAAACAGTATAACTATAAGCTTCTCTTAAATCTCTGCTTCCACCACATACTCATACCCTGGTCTCTCCTTCTGTGAAGCTAACTACAAATTAGTCTCCCAGACATGATACTCCATTAAATAAATCATGCATCCAGGAAATCCAGAATTTAATGTTACTTCTGAACTGTAACCTCAGCCATACCACACACAAATGCCTAACTATTGTTCTTCCCTGCTTTTTCAACTTTGAACTTTAATATAGTCCTCTGTGTTTAATATGGAACATAGCAAAGTGAGCAATGCTATAGCAGTCATGACTTTTAGTACTTCCCTGTTTAACTACTCAATTTCACAGTCTTAAATACTATATTCACAGGATCGTGGGAGAGTAGGGCTGGAAGAGACCTCAGGAAGTCATCTAGTTGAACCCCCAGTTCAGTTTAGGATCATCCCCATCTAAACCACATTAGACAAGTGTCTGTTTAACTGGCTCTTAAAACTTTTGAAGGATGAAGATTCCACACCCTCTTTTGGAAACTTATTCCCCATAATAGCAAAGTTCTAGTAAAAAGTAATAAGAATATCTAACCAAAGTAATTTTTTGTTAAACTAGAAATATAATTATGACAATTACCTTTGGTCATGGCTGTCTAAAACTAGTATTGAGCTTCCATCTGTCAAACCAGTTGTTTTGACTGTCTTCTTCATATTCTCTTCAGAAATGACCTTCCAGTTTTTAGCTTCACTGTCTGATCCTGAACTGTTCATTAAGATGATCCCTCTTGATGATGTTAAAGCTTTGCACAGAGTGCTCAGTTCTGCACTGCATGGAAAAATATGCTGGGATTCAGTGAAGTGCTGACCTTTTCCTCCTTCGTTATACCCCGCTAAACGAAGAACGTTTAGAAGTACGGGCTCATGGTCAAGGCCTGTCAGCACATCGATGCCACCAACCTGTAGTAACAATGTGCAAGAATCGCACATGAAAGGTGATCAGCAATATATCAAGTCATAACCAAGAGAAGTCTGCATAGTATGGATGACTTTTGTTTCTTAGTCATTCAAGACTTTTCTCATTAGAATCAAGCCTTCAGTGATTGAATTTGCATGGAAATGTTTGCTAAGGAACCTTAAAGGTGGTAAAGAGTAGTGGGGTATTAAAAAGGTGGTGAGAGGCTAGGATTCCCTGAAATTTGAAAAATACTGATGACAAAGGAAAATAAATTGGAAAGATAACAGCCATTTTTATCTTTTTGTACAGAAATCCTAAGCAGACCTCTAGTGACAACACATGCTATGGCAAGCAAAGGGTACAGTCGCATGTAGTGATAAGAGGGAGCACCAGAAAGGCAGCTGGACTGGCACCCCAAAGCCAGCATTCCTCCAAAAATAATTTAAAACACCCAGAATTATTTTTAGAGACTTAAAATTAAATCCTAGGATTTATAGAATAGTTTCTTACCCTACTTTCTTACCTCCTTTCCATTCCACACAAAGATGTCTGCCCCATCAGCTAGTCCAATGCCATCCAGAGTCAGTTCATCTCCTGAAAAAGAGATCATTTCATGGTGAAGTCCCCCCTTCCCCCCAGCCTCAAGAAAGGTAATCAAATGTCAGCTGGAAAGAGAAGACAAAAATGTAGCACACTATCATTATCTATCAAAATCAAAAGCTGCTAGGAAGAACACACACACAGGGTTGAATTCAGGGCCCAGTCCTGTAAAGGAAACCTCTGTGGATGCATAGGTCTATGAGAGTCAAGTTATCAGGAGTCCTGTTATTATAAGTTCAGGTGGCCCGATCTTTTTGCAGGAGTGGAGATTCCGCAGAACTGACCCAGCATAAATATACTTCCCCTGAGCATTGACTTTGGACCCTGGAATACACAGAACACTGAGCTAGATGACCCATGGTCTCACTCAGTATGGCATTCCTTACGTTCTTATACATTTAAACTCTACTTGACAAATTTGCCTGTTTGGTCACTGTTTTCTAGATAAGTCTTAATACTAAAAAGGATGCTGTATTTCCCAAGCCAATTCCTGAAACATAAATGAGGCAAATGTTTAAATTTACCTGCAACTTATTTCCCTCTTTGTATCATAACTCAGCCTAAATGGAAATTATGTTTTTAAATCTCAAAAGATTATACAAAAATGTGCAAAACCACAACAGTTATGTCTAACTTCTGGTTTCCTGATATTTCTGCAATGAAAAAGCATGGTGTATTTTCTGGCAGTAGCCTAATTTTATAAGGCAGGGCTCACAAACCAAAAAGAGAGGTAGGTATTAACTTACTCAGTAAATCAGATTTAAAAAAAGACAACCCTGTGTATTTAACATGACTATACATGGGTCAGGCCCCACAAAGCCAAAGCTATATTTTTAATTAAGTTATGTATTGAATTATAAGAAGTCTCCATTTCAATTTTTTTCTTCCACTAAAATTTAACTTGTGTAATCTATTTCTTTCATTGCTGCCCTGGCTCCTCTGATTCAGAATCTTTTAAAGTATGAAATACTCCTAAAACATAAATGTTTAAAAGACTGTCATAGTTTAACCTCATTTATCTACAAATTTGATCTTTGCAATGAGACTTTGATTTTTACAGCAAAGATTCAAGATAAGGAGTTGCTTTAGAGATAATACGTCAATACACATTTTAATATTAAAGCTAGCTTTTGACAAATAGATCAGCTGGACATCGAAACAAATAGCATTCAACGCTACATTTTCCCAGTCAGATAATAAATGCACGTTCCTCCAAATGCCTGTAACTTATAAATGATGAAGCCTTGTTTTGTGCAGACAGGTCTTACCATTAAGCGTCTGGTAAAGATGAAGTCCTGCTGGGAGAGACTTTGCAGTACTGAGAATCTGGTCTCCTTCCCAAAATTCCAACAGCTAATGGGTATAATAAAAGTGGTTGTGAAAAGGAAGCAATAGCTGCCATTATTCAGCAAAATGCCAAGCTCACTGTAAAAGCTAAAAACCTGGCTGCAATGAAATCAGTGACAGGTTTGCAATTTATTTTGAGGAGGCTAGGATTTCAAGCTCAGTATTTGCAATCTCCCTAGGAAATAAACAGCACTGATGATAATTTTGTTTTTTTACTTTGTTTTTCCTATTGGTTATTTGTATCGGCCGATTATCTAGGCTGGGGTGACCAACCCACAGCACACACGCCACAAATGGCACAGGTAGGCATTTGACAGACTGGGTAGAGGGCAGGCAGCAAAAAACAAAAAAAACAAATCAGACAGGGAGCAGAAGACAGGACGAGCAAGGGAAGAGAATCAGAGTGGTATGGTGCTGAACTCATGCCATACCTGCTAAAAAGGTTGGCTTCTACTGTCGATCACCTGTTTACCCCAGTCTAGAAAGAGCACATGTATTGTTCTGTACCCTATAAGGAACAAGTCACTCCTGCCATCATGTTCCAATACAACACCATCTTTAAATTCAATGTTCTTATCTGTAGAACTAGAAATCTCACCATTCTCTACGACTCATGTTTCTTTGGTTTATTAGGGAACACACATACAGCTTTCAAATCTGACAGAGTCCTGTAAATTTTTTGCAACTTTTTCAGTAGGTCATCTCTAACTTCTTGGTATTTTCTTGAGTCTTTTTTCCAGCCTAAACTAACATACTCCTTCCAAGCATGTAGGCAATATATTAACAGTTATAAAAAGAGTCAAGGATAAACTGTTTTACTAGACTTCAATCCATACTTGTTTGTAGTGCCCAAGTCTTTAAGCCAGATATAAAGCTTAAATTTTCCACTACCTTGCTTTGTCAATTCCATGGCAAAGCAGTGCAATCTGTCTTCGAAAGAAGAACATTTCTATACACATAGATTCATATGATTTCCAGCTTAAATATGTCAAATTATATAGAAAAATTACTCCTCTGTATATAGGCATATTCACTTCTGCAAATCAGAAATGTGATTTGTGACTCAAGTACAGACAAAACCTTTGGGTTGACTTTAAGACAACAAATACCTGAAATACAGATTGTCGCAGATCTCCTAGGGTTTTTCTTTTATCAATAGTCAGATCCAGCACACTTTCCTTCCGAGAAAGCGATGGGTGGAGAGCCCCATTGTAAAATTTATATCGAGAAGCCAAATGAAGATGCAAGTCAATGTTATTGTCTGCAGAGTCACATTCTGCCCTTTAAAAGCACAGCATAAATACACATCAATACCAAGATGCTAAAATGAAATGTTACATACTGGCAATTATTCCTTTAGAGTCACTGCTGTGCATTCACATTTATGGGTTTGGTACCTCAGGTAATTGAGTTCACAGGTAAGTTCAGGCCAGCATCACACCCACAGATGGACAAGCACAAAGACTCTCAGAGGAGCTAGTGATCCACATACTGTGTAGCACACAGTAAAGTGGCCCCTTACAAACATGCTAAAATACTCCTTGTCTGGTTTTAAAGCTATTACATCAGCACCATTCTAAACATTCATTTATATTCGTTTTCAAGATGACTATGCTAATCAAAACTGAGAACTTTAACTGAACTGTACCAAGAATGGAAATCAAAGACAGCTAAGCCAAATAAAATGTATCAGCTCTCATTTCATAGAATCATAGAAGTAGGGTCGGAAGGGACCTTGTAGATCTTTAAGTCCGACCCCCTGCTTGGGCAGGAGAAAAACTGGGCTCAAATGACTCCAGCCAGTTAGGCATCAAGCCTCTTCTTAAAGACCTCCAGGGTAGGAGCCAGCACCACTTCCCTTGGAAGTTGGTTCCAGATCCTAACCGGCCTAACTGTAAAGTAGTTCTTACGGATGTCTAATCTAAACCTACTCTCCAACAACTTGTGGCCGTTATTCCTTGTTATGCCAGGGGGCACTAGGGGAAACAGGTCTCTCCCAAACCCTTCTGGTCCCCCCTAGTGAGTTTATAGACGCTCACCAGGTCCCCCCTCAGCCTTCTCTTGTGAAGGCTGACCAGGTTCAGGTTCCACAGTCTCTCATTGTAGGGTCTTGCCCTGCTGTCCCCGGATCATGCGGGTGACCCTCCTCTGGACCCTCTTAATGTTGTCCACATCCCTCCTGAAGTGGGGCGCACAGAACTGGACACAGTACTCCAGCTGTGGCCTGACCAGTGTCGCGTAGAGGGGGAGGATCACCTCCTTGGCCCTACTTGAGATGCACCTGTGGATGCATGACAAGGTCCAGTTAGCCCTGCCAACCGTGACCTCGCACTGTCAGCCCATGTTCATCTTGGAGTCAAATAATGACTCCAAGTTCCCTTTCTGCCTCCATGCTCTCAAGAAGGGAGTTTCCCATCTTATAAGTGTGCTGCTGGTTACTACTGCCCAAGTGCAGCACCCTGCATTTGTCAGTATTGAAACGCATCCTGTTTTTGTTAGCCCACCCCTGTAACCTATCCAGGTCTTGCTGCAGTCTTTCCCTCCCTACTAGTGTGCTCACCTCACCCCAAATTTTGGTATCATCAGCAAATTTAAACAGGTTGCTTTTCACCCCGTCGCCCAAATTGCTGATAAAGAAATTGGCACCAATAGCTAGCTTTTACCTGCAGATTGCCAGGTAGCAAAAGCACATTTTATAAAAAAGTGAAATTCCCCTGTGCAGGGGGACTTCACATGTGCTTATCTGCCTGCCATCTAACAGGACCTCACCAACAGGCCAAGTGTTATAGCCTACTCACCATCAAGCCAAAAAAAATGTTTCCTCCTCAAATGTCCAAAGAACTAAGACAGATCTCAGCTATTTGGACAGCGGTCCTACATTCACACAGGGTGAATTTGCATGGCCCCTCATTTCCTGGGGCATGCTTAAGGCCTGAATGTTTACTAGGTCCATACTATGAGTTTAAGTAGAGCAAGTGATGCATCAGATCTACATGGGCCCTCTACAGAAAGGCAATTCTTCACCAAACATGAATACCAAAAGGTGGAATTTATTGCATGAATTTCTGACAGAGTACTATTTGCCTGCTATTTTATATGGGGTGGCTCCTTTTTTCTGCCATTGAGATGTCTTCATATAGCTACAAAAAATTCAACCTATACTCTCCCTGGAGCTGCAACAATTTACACAGAAGTCCAGCACATCCTATACTTGGATTCACCAGTGACCTGTTGTGTGAAGTTAGGCAAATAGCTTCATTTTCATGACTCAAACTAAAAACAAAACTTTCCTTCAACCACAAAGCACAGTGAGAACTACTGATGAGTTCTATCACATCTGACTTCATCCACATACCTCCTCTTCTGCAGTTCAGCATTAGCAGCATTCATTTCATTCAAGAGGTGTTCAGGAATTCCATACCTTGGATTTGCATGAGCTGTGATCAAAATAAGCTTGTTAATGAGCCAGGACAAGGTGCTCAAGGCCAGGCATACCAACACAGCAGCCTTTTAAAGCCCTGTATGAAAAAGCTGGGTCCTCTTATAACTGAAGGTTAAGTCACAAGTAGAAGCAACAAGCAGGTTTTACTTCTGCTCACATTCATATGACATTTATTGCATGTTTTTACACCATATTTTTTTCTTAAAGTACTAAGGTAACTTTTGGTGTGTGTGTCAGATGCTGAAAAATATCTGCACCAACTGCATTAAGTTGTCTACTAATCTTTTCTCCATTAAATATTGGGAGGACATCCATGCTTTCCAAACAAGAGAAATACAAGACTCCAATCTTGTTTTCTTAAGGAAAGAACAGGAAAGAGAAGACCCAAAATGTCAAAGTTAATATATTTTTGTACCTTCAGATGGTCTTTTCAATTGGGATTTTCGATAAAACAGCATGTAGGCACTTTCTTTACCCTGAAATTGTTCCTCTATATCTTTCTCCTTAATTGGCTGGACTTTCGAATCATTCAAATCAAACCAGTGAGAACCAGAAGCGTCATCCTTTAATCTTGTTGACAGTTTTTCTGAAGTCCACTGGACATTGTTGTTCTGGGAAGGGCTCTGCAAATCTTGTCCTTGAGAATCTGGCCCAAACTGGAGCTTGTGGTAGTTCTCTTTTAGACTAATCTTATTTCCATCGGGACTGAACAGAAATACCTGAGAATGACTCTGCAAATACTGAAAAGAAAAAAGATAAAGGAAGGAAGAATTGTAATAATGAAACATGCTAACAGCAATAAATATGCCAGGGAAAGCTAACCATATTGTACGGTTTGCTCTCCCCCAATTCACAAGCAAAGCCTCTATCTGCTCCAATTTTAAGTATTGAAAATACCTCTCCTTTTGCCTGTTCAATCATCCTTTTGTTATTCTCCCTCCACAACTGCCTGTCCTTAGTACAAGACTCCCCTTTTCGTATGACTAAAATGACTAGCAGATTGCAAGCAAAACTACAGACCAAAAAAGACAGCATTAACAATAAAATCCAACCCAAGTCAGGAATTTTAAACCTTATTAGCCTAAAATTACATCTAGTGACTTTTGGGTGTCTTACCTTCTCTCGGAGAAGAAACCTAGGGAATCTCCCTCACCTAAGCAAACAAGAATAGGCTCTGATCTATTATAGCATTAGTGGTTCTCAACCAGGGTGCTGGTACAAGGCCCTTTAGGGGTGCTTTGAGGCAGGTGTTATAGCTATGGCATGTACTCTTGCTGCATTAGGGCTCTCACTAGCCTAAAGCAAGCAGGTACTGGCTGGTACTATAGCCCTTTCCAATCCAGCCACCCCCTATACTTGTCCCAGACAGAGAGGTACAAAGGACAGTTATACCTGCGTGCCTCTTTCTGAGAAGAGCATAGAGCAGGGAGCTGGACCAAGAGCAGCTACACTGCACAAAACCACTCTTGCCCGTTTCAGGCTTATCAGCAAGCCAAAAGGCAGGAGTACTGTGCACATATGCTACAGCCCTTCCTGGGATGGCTGTGCAGCAGACACATGCGGTACCTGTACCCGGAAGCAGCAGAACTTGGTTGAGAAGCACTGAGTTAAGCTGAGGCAGCACCAACAGTGGTTTTCAACCAGGAATACTGCCACATTCAAAAAGAACGGTGAAGGGGGGCCCTGATCCTGAAAAAGTAAAGAACCGCTATATTAGGTACACTGTGGTTTTTAAATGAACTTCATTCCTGGTATCTCTTTCTACTTCTGCCACAGCATACTCAGATTTAAAAATCCTCAGATGTATGTACACTAAGAATTACTAAAAAACCTCAGGCACATTACAGGGTAGAGAAAAATAAATTAAGACTGGGAACTAACAGCCCAAGATTTTCTACTCGCTGAAATCACACCAGAAGCTGTGTAGGAAGCAGAACCAGCGAATACCTCTAAATGGGAGAGTTGCATACTTAAGGTCACAGGACTAAACTGTTGCCTAAACATGAAATGGGGATAAAGGAGGAAAATATTTGTTCATTACTTCTTTTATACATTTCTTATCACATATTAAGAATAAACCTTTGATGCAGGACTTCTGTTGAACTAACAGGTTTATTCCACCATTTAAAAGAAACTCCTTTTCTCTTGTCCTTACCAGACAAAGAGATTGACATGAGAGAGGTACATGACACTGTCATGACAAACAACCTTTACAGGACTAGCATATTAAAAGACGGAAGAGGTGTTGGGGAGGGGGGGTAAAAGGACAGGTAGGGGCAGGAGTGGGGACACAAGATTAACAAGAACAACACAGATTTTAAAAGAGATTATTATTTGCCATGACTGAAAGTCACCACTTGCTGTCAGTCTACTATATTCACCAGAAATGATGAACTTAAAATTAAGTCACTGGCCCATAGGATTAGTGAACTTTTGGCACTGGTCTGTGCTTTTTTTTCAAAAGTATCCAGAGGCCCCAATTAGCTCATTTAGCGTTGATACACTATTTGAAGACAATCACCGTTCTGGAGAGTTTTACACGCTAAACACACTATACAACAACTCCAAATTTCAGGTAAACTTCATTTTGGATCTCTAATAAAAGCACGTTCTTGAAGAGGTTGTTCGTACATGTGTTCATACGGTCATGTTGAAACAAACACAAAGAAATAAAAAACATTGATCAGAGCACGCTTTTGGGTAGATCGGTTTATAAATAAGTTTACTGATAAACATGAGGCTTCCATTATGTTGAAAACACTTGGATGCTCAAATAATTAAAGAAAACAACACTACATTCACTATTTTTGTTCATATCTTATTTCTTATAGCACTTACCTGCTTACTTTCAAAATTAGCAAACCACCACATTTCTAATCAGCCCTTCAATTTTTTTTAAATTATTGAAGAGGTGAATATCATTTTGCAGTTGTTAAGAAGAATAATTAAAACATTAAAATGAGTTCTCCCAAATACAGAATCCATACAAAGCAGAATGGGTTTTCTTTGCATTGTAGAAAACAATTCAATACTTAAACTGCCATAGCATACTACTATAATTTAAATGAAAATTTTCTGAACTCATTTCTGACTTATAAAAAATGGAAATTGGAACAAAAATCCCATTTTAGCTATAAGTACTGAATTACTAGATTGGCCTCAAGCATACTGTATTTGTCAATCAACATTAAAAGCTATATATCCACCTGCACATGCATATTCACATCAATATTCACATATTGACCTGAATCACAGATTCAGTTTAAAGGAGAGTCAGTGTTTCTACTATCAGTCTAACATTTGACCTTACATGAACATAACTTGGTATTTTTCTGTTTCTGATTTGCAATAGGTTTTAATTAGAATTTTGCCATACAATTCATTACCTTTCGTAATGGTCCAAATGGTTTCCGGTATTTCTTGTTCCAGGATATCCCTTTTCTCTCTAAAAATTTCTGCCCTAACTGATCCACAGGAATTTGTTTAGATTCTTCCTAAAGAAACAGAAGTAAAAAGCCTAAGATAGTGAAGGGGAGCACAAAAAGAAGTGTCAAGACCACAAAGAAACATACAACAAACACAAATTCCATAAACAGGCAACAAGAGGGTGATTTAAATTTAGAAAAAAAAAAACTTTTGCAATACCATGTTTTGAGCTTAGTTAAGCTAATTAAATAGGTAAACAAATATTCAGATGCCCCCTGGATGCCTACTTTTTATATTAAAGCCACCTTAACATATACTTTCCTTTATGCCTCTTGATGAATTTCCAAGAAAGCTCTATAATGCTATTGTAGGCCCGATGGTCTAGGAAACATGGGAGAAGCAGGATTTGTTCTGCATTCTTTTAACAAATCTACCCCCTGTGTACATCAAACCCCTCTTCCAAGACTATTGCTAAAATGGGAAACAAAGATCAGTTTACATACCATACCTGTGATAAGATCTCTTTCAGGTCTGTCAGAGGATTCTCATTTTCTTTGCCACTTTCATTATCTTTTACAAACTTATCCTTAGTTAGTTTGTTTCCCTCCTCCTAAAAAGAGACCAGTGATAAGCTCCTTACTACACAGCATAGATACCAAGATTGTAAATTAAATTATTTCCAACAAGACTAGTATCTTACAGGTAAGATTTCTAGCACAGGTTCTTTCCTTTTACAATTTATGTATACTTATTATGCCAAGCTGTGTAATTTTTTGTAAAAAAAAATAGATTACAACATTTTTAGCAATGACAAGACTGTAGAGGTCACATCTGGCCACGCACACTAAAATTTTATACAGTTTCTAGGCTGCAGTCATTAGTTATATATCAAGATGAGGTATTAAAAATAATATTATTAAAGAAATCATACAGACTGATATTAAATCATGGTATGATATTAAACTATCCATGCAGACTGGCCTCTTCATATCAGGTGAACACATCATAAATGCCATTAAAAGGGACGTTATTTTTAATGATAAATAAGTGTACATCAGACTCCAGCAGTAAAACAATTACTGAATTGCATGAAATTCAGAAGTGCAATGCAGCAAAAATAAACTAGACAAAAAGTGTCTTTTAAAAACTTACTTGCAATTGCCAATTTCCTAATTCATCAACATCTTTGATATAAACATGATAATGTCCGCCATAGCAACCACCTTTGTGTATAATAACAGAAAAGAGGTCGAACATGTACTCCAAATCATCCAACTCAGTCTTAAAAAAAACCAATAAATGGAAATTAATATAACCAACACATAATGGCAAAACTGGGAGAATTTTATACCATGAACAAAGTTTTGTATATTTTAGTAGGAGAATTAAATGTTGAACAAAACCAAAAATGCATTTAGCAATGTGGTAAATACCATAACCGTTTGAAGACTCAGAAATGAGAAGATAGTTGATTATGGCATTGAAATCCTTATGCTTGGAAACAAAAAAAAAATAGTGCTTACTGTACAGATTTACACATTAGTCCTAAAAATGCATGACATTTTCTAGAAACTTGCAAGTAAATAGCCCAGGAGCTGTAACACGTTTAGAGTAGCTCCTTTTGAAATTTTAAGGCTACTTTTTCTGACTCCTTTAAATTACAAAAAGGTCTCTTAATACCTAACAATTTTATCTGGATTTAAACAAAACTCAATAAAGTAGGCCATTTTGTAAAATAAAAAGTAATTATATAAAAGCCAACTTAAAGTTTATCAGAAAAGTGTTTTCTCAAATGCAAACATCTGAGGTTATGTAATGTTCTAAAATAAAGAAAACAGGCTTGATTCAAAGAAGTATGTTTGTGTATGAGGAATATATTTACCCCCCCCCCCCCCCCCCCCCGCCATCGGAGGCCGA